CTTTTAAAGTGCTTTAAAATAATCTTGGCTTGGCTCTGCAGAAGATTATTACTCAGTTCTGAAATTAGTTCTTACCCTGTGTCTGAGGGTCCAAGTTCATCACTGAAGTATGGAGATTCTTCTTTAGACTTGTCACTGTTGATAGACACAGAGCTGGATACTTGAGGCGCTATTTTTTGATTTCTGCAAACACAACCATGTTTTCATTCATTTCATGCCAAAAACTCAACAATTACCATTGAAAGGTCTTTCTGTGAGTGAATATCTGACTGTTACTCAGGAAAAGATGGTACACCACAAGTGACTTAGGATCACTCTCTAGTAAATGGATTTATTACCAAAAAAAAAAACCCACAGGCAACAGTTTTTCTGTCATTACAAACAATCAATTGTCCCAAAAGGCATGTCCTTTTCATTAAGACAAAGAAGAAACTGTAAGAAAGGTAATGATGGTGGAAAACTCCATGAGATTTTATAGTTTACTATGCTTCACAGCAACATAAGGACAATAAATGAGATTAAAGATCATTAGAAACTCTTGTAATAAAGTAAGTAACGGTATAAACGGTATACGGTAGCAACAATATGAATTTGGTCAACGGTAGAGATTTTGACTATACCGCTCTACCGTGACAGCGCATGTTGATGATATCATCAAACTGCGCCTGTTTTGGTCAAAAGCATCACAGCAGCTGCAAGCAATATCATCTGCAAATTATGTTGGGCGACAGTATCACAAAGAGACGAAGCACGTTGCGAAATATGAGGAAAGCCAAAAACTGCGCTTCCTCCACTTCCGTACCATTGATTCATTAATGCTGAATTGGAAATTAGACGACATCCGAAGACAGTAAGAAATAATTTCATAGAGCAGGTAAAATAGTCTTACTTTTTCCATATCATTGTATATCACTACATATTCCAGTGCGTGATTTGAGCTATGAGCGTACGTGTTGCTAAATCTGATTGGTCATATGTGTTTATTTGGATATGAAAATTCTGGAAAAGAAATCGAGCTTTAACAAAAAAAAAAGCTTTGAAATTGAAGCTCTTGGGTTTTTTCGTAACACTGGGAAGTTGTGCTCACTAGTTACAATACAGCTAAAAGGAAAGAGGATGCATTTCATGCTATTTGGATTGATCTTTTAAATGAAGGCGAGAATTCTGGTAGAAACAGTAAAGCTGTGTTCTTGTCTTTCCATCATTTACCCGTCTTGTGCAGTCAAATTATTGCTTAAATGCTAGGTTAATTCAAATTACATACAACAATAAAAATAT